AACCAAATCAAACTAGTGGGAATTCATGAAAAATGGATCAATGGCTGTGGAGCCTGCATGGGACTGGACTAGGTTTTCTATATAGTGAGACAGTTGTGTATCTTGATCTGCTTGGAAGTTCCCCTGGCTGTAGGATCAGATTCCATGCCTGGTGCATGAGGGAGATTTTTAGGGCCCACTACCTATGATGGGACACCTTGTGCAGGTGTGAGGCAGGGAGAAAGGATTGGACTTGCCTCTACTGGATGTGCCTCCCCATGGCAGGCCTTACCTTCTTGTGGGGGGTAGAGGGAGGCTGGTGGGGTGGGAGGAGGGAAGTGGGGGATTTTTGATTAGTGTGTAAAATAAATGAAAAAATAGTTATAAATGAAAAATTTAAAAATTAACATAGAAAAAAACACATTGACCCATCTATTTTTCTCAGAAACAGTGATATTAATGACAATCACTTAAAAAGACCCTTTAGAGAAGGCACATTTTTCCACAATTTAGTTTGCCATGTTCTGAAACTGTAAATAGAATTTACTCTTGACCTTCATATAACCTCACTTTAGTCCAAAAATCACCCAAATAGTATCTACAATTGGTTGGTCAACCGTTACCCACTGAAGACTAATGTGGCAAGATTAAAGTTTAGTCAGTTTGCCTAATCCATCTTAGCATCTTGTCTTTAATTCTAATTGGTGACCTTCTCCTTGTTTCTCAAATGTATAGATTTGAGGTGTGATACCTCCTGATTTTCTTCATAATCCAGCCTACTGCTGAATACACTTATTGCAGCAGTTGGATGGGATCTGAAAGCAGAACCTCTGGATCCCAGCATCCTTTTTCTAACCTGAGAGCCAATGATTACATAGCTCCATCCACGGCTGATTCATTTATTTTTCTTTTTTCCCTCTTCATTTTTCTTTTTTCCCTAAGCACCCTCCTACCTTTCTTTCTCAGAGTGATACAATGTATGGCCTAGTCAGTTTCTTCCCATGACATTCTGAATGCTATGAACAATGAAACTAATAGTGAAAACTGCTGCTCATGAGTCCTTAGTTCCAACTCTTCTAGGAATTTTGGTCTGAATGCCAACACTGTTCATTGCCACACACACTACTTCACTTTGCCCACACATTTGCATCATAGTTTGGGACTTAGGAAGCTCATCCTGTACCTTATTTGATTTGTTGAGCATTTAAAATATGATGCTGCTATGTGTGTTGCATTGGGAGTTACTTCACATGTGTGGTATATTACTCAAGGATGTAGAGAACAGAACATTGTCAAAATAGATGGCTACTAGTGTTTGAGGGCTGAGAGGCCAATAGACTAAAAAATAAAAATCCTCTCTACAGCCTTTAATTTCCACCACTAAAAAAATATCTGTAATGTGAAGTAACAGTGGTTAATACTATAGAGCAGAACCATTTATTCTCATTAGGAAATAACCCCACAAGATGTAAGTAGCAGCACAACTTTGACTAGTTAGGTCCAGAGTCACAGCAGCTACACAAAGAGGTGGAGGTAGAAGTCTACCTGAAAGGAGGGTAAAAGCCCTGGGTATGAAAGAAGCATAGAAATAGATGGAAGAATGGGAATGACTAACTTTGCCAACTTTATTTACTCGGTTAGCTTAGATCTGAGAGGCCCCAAGAGATGGTAGTACCACTGCATGGAAATAAACTCTGAATGAAGATGGAGTAACATCTGCTCACCGAAGCAGTTCTGTGCCATTAACAAAAAGGCTATTATGTTGCTCATAGAGACTTCCCTGCTGCCATTGCTCTATTGTGCTCCTCCAAAGACTGGCAGAGAAGCCTTTTCCCTCTTACCTCAGGGTCGGTCCCCACAACATCTCCCTATCTGGAACTCAAGTGTCCCCTTTGAACCTCTTAACTTTTCAGGATTTGTTCAGCTCCTACAATCTTCTCCAGAGAGCTTTCCTTGAAATATGCCAAGGTGTCTTCCGTCAGTGCTTCTGAAGAACCCTACACACCTTCCTGGTATAGGACCTACTGTTCTGCATCATAGTTACTACTTTACAGTATCTGATTCATAGAGAAAATTTAATAACGTAACATTTCTCGAGTGAATGCTTTATGTGTTTTTTCACCTGTTCGCCTATCATTAATTTCTTCCCATTCAAACACAATTTAACACGTTTTAAAATCATCTAGTTCCACAAGTAAATTTTATAAAATATTTCTGGGTATTTACATTTGAGTGAGTACTCATTGAGATAATGTTTGTGGGAATCCTGGAATGGTATATGTCAATTAGACACAGTCCTGAGTAAAACCAAGCCTTAAACAGGATTCTCTGAATAACAACAGTAGTAGAGATTAGAGCCCAATTCATACTCAAGGTATTTTGGTATTTTTCTCCCAATAAGTGCAAAGTATACTGTGAAGAAGCTGTACATTATGATCAGAGCTGGAAGTGCAGCTTAGTGGAAGAGCATTTGTCTAGCCTGTGCAAGGCCCTGGGCTCAAAAACCCCAGCAGCACAAAAATTTCAATGATCTATTTTGAATGTCTTACTTAAATTACATGTACTTTGTGTTTCTCTGCGAATATGGTGTGTGTGTGTGTGTGTGTGTGTGTGTGTGTGTGTGTGTGTGTGTACGCACGCACGCACACTGGCGTGCACAGTTCATTGCGTCTTCCTTGTTCAGGATACGTTTCTCACATTGGCTGTTTTTATAATCTCTTTTTCACGAGAAGCAGTTTACCATACTGAGACTTTCCTTATATGAAGACTGGTGGATAAAATACTAACAACTTCATTATATTATTGGGAGGGTTAAATAAGACTATCTACGGACTAGCGTAGTGTGGGTGTACAGTACACATTCCACAAATGCTGTTTTTAATTTTTATTGCTTATTTGAATCAAGTATTTTTCTACTAATTCCATTTCTCTCTTTCACAAAGGCAAGTTGTGACCAAATTGTGCATTTGCTGAAGATCTTCAATAGCTTCTCTGAGATAACAGGGTAATGTGTATGTAGATGCTTGGCATGTCATATCAGAATCTGAGTGATTCAGTCCTTATTTACCAGTCAAGCTTCATTTTCTGTGATTTCCATGAGCTTTTAGCTAGGGCAATATTGAAATATTTAGTTTATACAATATACACTGTACTCTAATGTCCCTTGGCAAACACATTCTTATTTGCTAGAAGGCTCTGTCTCCCATCATTCCTTCGTTTGCTTGGAAAAGCAAACCCTTTGTGCATCAGCTCAACTGTGGCTTCTTGTATAAAAGCCTCTGTGGCTTCACTGTATTTTCGTTGTATTTTATGTATATCTACTTCTGTTATGCACTGATCATATGGGGTGTGATTACTGACATGACTTCTCCACTAAACTATAAAATACAATGGTTGGGATCACGGTTTTGCTCCTTTGAATGTTCATTAGCTAGCCTGGTATTTAGCAGATCTCAATAAATATTATGTGAGTGAATGGATCACATGGTTTACTTAATAAGTATTGCTGATGTTTCTATAACTCATGTGTAGTGCTTGATTTCTTGGTCTTTTCTTTATCAATCACACTACCATTTGCAGATATATATGCCAGAAGGAAAATAAAAACAACAAAACAAAATCCCTCCACTCAGCTTTCAAAGGACTTTGACATTGGCTGTTGTTCACACTAAAAACCCAGAAATGTAAGAACTAATTTGAAATGTATATGTATGTAAATGTGTATGTAAACACCATGTTTTATTTGACTTATGCTCTATGTATTACTCTTTGGAGACTTAAATAATGAAGGCAAATGAAATTGATTTATGTTCTCAAGTGAACTAATTGTGACTGGGGATGCTGGTGCCATGCTTGTCTAGCACGCTCAAGGCTACTTCTACCCCAGCTACGCAGAATTCATTTGGGAAGACATCGGAAGTTTCCTTCTTGATAACATTGCCCTCAAACCATGTCGACATTTTAGAGCAGCAGAAGCAGTTAACACAATGCAGATGGAGCCTTAGATCTGATGCAGATTTGACTGCTGTCAGAGCAAGCTGTCATCCTTACAGCAGTGGTTCTCAACCTGTGGCTCACGACTCCTTTGGGGGTTGCATATTAGATATCCCACATATCCGATATTTACATTATGATTCATAACACTAGCAAAATTACACTTACGATGTAGCACCAGAATAATTTTATGGTTGGGGGCCACCGCAACATGAGGAACTATATTAAAGGGTAACAGTATTAGGAAGGTTGAGAACCATTGCACTAGAGGCAATCTGTGTTGACACCAGAGGTTTCACTGTGAATACCTGCTACTAACTAACCTTCCCAAGATGGTTCAGAACCAGTGCCAAAGGAGACAGATGAGACAATATGGCTGTCTTTGCACTCTGTCAGCAGCAGAAGAGAAGCAATTCACAGTTAATTGGGTGTTTCCTCTGCAGGGCACAGCATGTGCCTTAAATGTTTTGTAGTCCACCGGTGAGAAGCCCTATAACTTGATGGTTATTCAGAGTGAATACTCCAGTTCCATCAGGTGATCACTAGTAAGAATCCTGGCAAGTTGAGTCTAGAGGGCCTAGGCCTGTAATTCCAGCTACTTGGGGGGAGGCTGAGCCTGCCTGAGCCGTATAGTGACATTTGAGGCCAGCCTGAACAACTTAAGAAGAGCGTAACTCAAAAATCAAAAAGTAAAATTGGGGTGTGTGGATCAATGCTTTCCTAGTGTACACAAGACCCTAGAGTCAATCTCTAGTAAATCAAAAGAAAGGGGCAAATATAGTGTCCAAATGCAGACGTGCCCAACAAATTTCAAACCCAAGGGTGACTGCTTTTGTCAGCTTGCTGACTGTTAGTGGTATTCCACACATGCTCAGTCTGGCTACGCAGACACAACTGGTAGAAATGAGTGTCAGCATGCAGAAGTAGCCCGACACTGTTACTGGAATTCACAATTTAATTTTTTAATAGAATCATTAATGCCAAGGACCAGAGCTTTTAAAAATTATCATTTAATGAATGAATTTTTACACTAATCTTGATCATAATTTCATAAATCACTTTCTCTGTTTATGTGTGTTTTGAAAAGGAATATTTGCCTCTTGTTTCGGAATATCATGGAGAGATTGTCTGGAAACTTCTGTTGCTTGCGAAGTATGAGATGAAGCAGGAATTGAGATTCTTTTGGTTCCTGGGGTGAAGAAGAGGTACCATTGAATATGAAAATAGCAAACAGCCCTCCTTACTGGGAATCTACATTACTGGTATACTAGACTACTAAGGATACATTGTCAGATACAAGAAGGTATTATTTATATAAGATAAAGTAGACCCTCCAAAGAGAGGATGACTCCATGGCTTTTGAAATTCTTCTTCCTATAAAATTCCACTGGCCCACCCTTGCCCTAAGACACCCTAATCTTAGGGGGCTGGTGTTGCAAGAGTGAAGAACAGAGCGACACAAACAGAAAGGAAATGGGGTTGTGAGAGGTTAAGAAGAAGGTAAGAATGTAGACAATTTAGGATGTGAAATAGAAGCAATAGAGAAAAAAAAAAAGAATTAGGTTTTCTGCCTAGGCAAGAAGACAAGGAATGGAGAAACAGGAAAAAGGACTTTGGCTCACTGGAAGGTGATACATTTGGTTTTGTGCACAGTAGATTTAGGGGACTTGACAACCACCCAGGTAGTGATGTCCTAGTGTTCTTCATAGGTGTGTGGATGTGTGTGTGTGTGTGTGTGTGTGTGTGTGTGTGTGTGTGTAATATGCTTGAGAAACTTTGTAAGATAGGCTGCATTTATGTCATATTTGTGAGAAAAGTATAGCAGTAGAGGTATGCTGTGGGATGTTCTGTATGTCCTGTGGGAGCCCTTCTTGGGTTCTTTGTGGAATTACCCAGCAGGTCCGTATAGAGGATGATTAGGACCATGGGCCTGAGTGCAGGTGTTTGAGATGGTCTGCACTTGGCTGTGCTGGGGGATGGTCTGTATGTCAA